GAGAGAAAATAACGCCTGAGCAGTGTGGATGTGTTTATAGTACAGGGTTCAATGACAAACATATGCTGCCAAAAGTGTAATGCTCCTGCTTAGTCGGGTTACAAAGTATGGGAATTGACTGTTTTCTTATCTTCATACAGAAAGTAAAGATATGGAACTTTGGCGTATTGCGACGCGATATGACCGCCACTTGTACAAGTAGCCAAGCGAGAATTGCGTACTGGACTGACTCTTACAGACCATGTCGAGTGCTTAATGAGCCGAAATGTTATAGACAAGCCTAGTCGTCTGCACGCCAAATACTAAATAAAATAGGAGACCATGTAACTACTATTTTGGGCGGATCTATTTTTTATAACATTTTGTTGAATACTTTCACTCTTGTGTAGCCAGAATCACAAGCCGCAGGTGGGCGCGCTGTAGAGAAACCGCCAAACTTTCGAATACAACCGTATGCAGCATGATTGTCTACTCAAATCATAAAAACAACCAAATGGTTACAGAAGGCCACAATCAAACCTGACGCCAAATATATTTTTAGAACTCAAAATCCAAACCTATTGTTTAGGGTGGTCACTTAGGAAGTTGATGATTTAAAAGAGGCTGTTCATTTGCATGCCAGTGCCTCCACAGTAGCACCTTCCGGCGCTATTATCCATGGGTCCATTCCATCCAAATTGTTGTTGTTGTTGTCCCTGATGCTGCATCGGTGGTGGTGGTGGTATTTGTTGCTGATGTTCACTCATAAATGTCGGTACTGCGCTTTGTCCACAGCTGCAATCCCAGCCACTGTCAAAGCCATTTCCTGTCGCAGGCACCATGACAAAATCTACTGAAGGAAATAATCCTGAAGGATGCTCAGGAATTGGTAAACCCGTCAGCTGCGAAGTGAAAGTCATAACTCCCCCTTGTTGGTTTGGCGCCTCACTTTGCGGACCGACTAAGGGTCGAGGACCCTGGAATGGATTTCCGGCAATGCAAGTGGGGCACTGACAGTTGACTTTTCCGCTGCCTCCCTGTTGTTGTGGCGGTGGACACATACCCATCCGCACTCCGGCCATCGGAGGACGCATAAAACCGCTAGGAGGGTTCGAGCCACTTCCGCCTCCATTACCTCCGCCTCGTCCATTGGGATCAGCAAAAAGGGCTGCCAATTGGTGGTTTCCGCTCTGTTGAAGAGCCGCCTGCTTGGCACGGTTCACGAACTGGGTTGTGGTCGTCCAGTTGTTGGGTTGAAATTGTTGGTGCGGGAAAAACTGCTGCTGACCGTACTGGCGTCCATGACCGCCATGACTGCTCATACCTCCACGAGGCTGCATGTGTTTTCCTTGACCCCTATAACGCACAAGGAAATGCTTTATCGTATTTTTGCGATATTACTTACAACTTCTTAAGTAAGCTACAAAAGCATTAAGCGCTTTCTTTAACTTTGGTGACGAAGTTGCATTCGTTTTGTCCGTGGTTATGAGAAATAAAAGACCAAAATAAGAGCAAATTACAAAATAATTGTCAAATAAAAGTGATTTTCTTCGTTGATGCTCATATGGGACGCCATCCTTTAGAAGCCATTTCGATTAAGAAAAATAACTTTCGAAGTAGCCCAAATGACGTAGACTGATAATCAGAGAGCACCTCAGTGGGAAGCTAAGAGTTCTTCTCCCTGACCGTTGGTGTTTGTGTGGAGCTGTGCGTTTGAAAACGGCCTTAGTATTGTGACTGATGAAGGAAGTTTTGCACGGAAACTCAACCGTAGACTATGAAGGCATCACCGAATTAAAACAAAAAAACACTTATAGTGTTTACAATTAATCACTTGATAGCTATATGAAAAGAGCCAGAATGGAGGGCTGAAACCAGAAGGTCGTGAAAAGATAGAAGGGAAGGGAGGAGGCAGGACGTACGTGCGTCACGTAAAAGCGAAGCCCAAATAATGTCGAGACCGTGGCTAAGGCTGTTTCCGAGATGTCGCAATTGTTTTGTAAGCATCTCCGCACTTTCGCGTCCTCACCTCGATTGGATGAACTGCGCATGCCTTCGTCTTTGCGTTGAAAATCCGAGAACAGCAAAAGATCAGTTTAAAAAGTCTCACGTCGGGTCCAGAGATGAAAAAAGCTTCATATCAGGTGACCAAAGTGTTCACACAGTTCCGAATTGTCCTATTAACAGGGCGATTTTGGACTTCTCAAAATAATAGAAGTTTAATTAAACACTTTTCACGTGCTGAGGTTCACATCAAAGGAATGGAGGAGAACGTATTCAAATAAATGGACGGAAGGAATTGATAGAAGTATAATTTCATTCATCATTATGCATCCTGAAGGGTACACAAGCCTCACCTTGGCATTCATACATTTTTAGCACAAGTTTTAAGGGAATATAAGCTTTACTGTACGACTGTAGGTGGTGCAATTATGCGACATTTGACACAGACATTTGCGACAGTCTGCTGGAGTAAAAAGCCAACACCAAACGCATTGGTCCTTTTCGTTTAGTGCATTCGCAGCTTGCACGAATAAATAAGTAGTTAGTAAGTAGTAAGTAT